GGGGAAGTTGAAGTCCTTGAAAAACGAGGACATCTGGGATGTCTGGGAGTGGAATGCCTCATCTCGGGAGCAGATGCAGCGGAAGCGAAGGAATTGGGAATAGGGGATGGCATTTTTGCAGGAAGGTGGGTGGGAGGAGGTGTATTCTCGGTAGCTGTGGGAGTCGGTAGGCTTGAAATGGATATCGGTTTCCAGGTGGTGGCCAGAGATGGAAACGGAGACATCCAGGAAGGAGAGAGAGGTATTGGAGGTGGTCCAGGTGAACTTAAGGTTGGGGTGGAAGGTGTTAGTGAAGTGGATGAACTGTTCGAGCTCCTCATGGGAGCACGAGGCGGCGCCAATACGGTCATCAATGTAACGAGGAAGAGGTGGGGGATAGGGCCAGTGTACCTTTGGAAGAGGGATTGTTCCATGTCTGTAGGAAGTGGGAGGAATTGAAGGAGAAGTTGTTAAGGGTGAGGACAAGTTCAGTGAAGTGGATGAGGGTGTCAATGGAGGGGGACTTGTCGGGCCTGCGGGACAGGAAGAAGCGGAGGGCCTTTAGGCCATCTGCATGGGGAATGCAAGTGTACAGGAACTGGATGTCCATGGTAAAGATGAGGTGTTGGGAACCAGGGAATCGGAAGTTTTGGAGGAGGTGGAGGGCGTGGGTGGTGTCATGGACGTAGGTGGGGAGTTCCTGGACCAAGGGGGAGAAAATGGAGAAGTGGAAATAAGTTCAGTGGGGCAGGAGCAGGTGGAGACAATGGGTCGACCAGGGCAGTCAGGTTTGTGGATTTTGGGAAGGAGATAGAAACGGGCGGTGTGGGGTTGGGAATGATGAGGTTGGAGGCTGTGGGTGGAAGGTCACCCGAAGTGATGAGGTTGTGGATGGTTTGGGAGATGATGTTTTGGTGGTCGGGGGTGCGGTCATCATCAAGGGGGCAGCAAGAGGAGGTGGCGTCTGGCCTTGGCAATGCAGAGGTCAGTGTGCCATACTACAACCGCGCCTCGCTTGTCTGCGGGTTTTATGGTGAGGTTGGGATTGGAGCGGAGGGAGCAGAGGGCTGCATGTTCTGTGGGTGAGAGGCTGGAGTGGGTGAGAGGGGTGGAGAGGTTGAGGTGATTGATGTCTCGACGGCAGTTGGAGATGAAGAGGTTGAGGGAGGGTAGGAAGCCTTGGGGTGGTGTCCAGGAGGAGGGGGTGTGTTGGAGGCAGGAGAAGGGGTCAGTAGAGGGAGGGTTAGGTGATGGCCTTTTCCTTGTCGGAATATGCTTTAACTATCCTAAAAAGGGAAGTTGTTGTTTTGTGTCAATTTAAATTGTGTGGTTTCCAGGAAACAAATGCTTTCCTTTGGTGTTGTGACTTTATGTGGAATGGAAAGATGTTAGTTGAGAATATTGATGATTTCTCTTAATTCTGTTTCTGTATCAGTCTAAATATACTGTACGCAAACACAAATACAGAAGATAATGTTACTATGTGACTACATCATCTCGCAAAGGAGTTAGTGAGAATGAAAAAGATCCCTGAAAACCATAGAGTAGCCCCTGTCAAATCAACAAGCAGCCCTGAGAAAATCTGAAGAGCCCTCAAGAAAAATTATTTTAACCCCTAGCACATATGCATATATTTACACTCTTTCAAAATGAGCAACTAACTGCAGAACAAGGCAGAATTCTCAATGTAACTCAGGTGCTATGCTTTGCATGCACAATTCACAGATGCTACACTCTGAGCAGGAAATCCAGTCTTTCTTAGTATTTAACTCACTGCCACATCTCTTCCAGGCATGCCCACCTTGAAGAAGTTCTGTTCCTCTCTCCAATGGGATTTCCGTTCCAATCTCACTTCTTGCCCACTGACTTTAATTTCACTATCACTCCTGGTGTTTGACCAAGTATTTGCTAAAACTCATTTCCACAGCCATATCACATTCCTCAAGTTCTGAGGAAGGGTCACCAGAAACGTTAAGTCTGTTTTTTCCTTCACAGATGCTGCCAGACGTGCTGAGCTTTTCCAGCAACTTTGTTTTTAATCCAGTCTTTTAGCAAGGCCAATCAGAAACAGGATGATTGATTTTTCAATTCCCCAGGTCACTGTTCCAGTTCTCCAAGGTCACTGTCTGACCTCTGGTACAATGTCCTGCCATGATGTAGAAAAAACTAACATTATGAGAACTATGAGATGGGCAGCATGGTGGCTCAGTGGTTAGCACTGCTGCCTCACAGCACCAGGGACATGGGTTTGATTCCAGCCTTGGGCGACTGTCTGTACAGAGTTTACACATTCTCCCCATGTTTGTATGGGTTTCCTCCAGGTGCTCCAGTTTCCTCCTACAGTCCAAAGATGTGCAGTGTAGGTGGATTGGCCATGCTAAATTGCCCATAGTGCCCAGGGATGTTTAGGTTAGGTGGGTTAGACACAGGAAATTAGGGGAATGGGTCTGGGTGGGATGCTCTTCAGAGGGGCAGTGCGGACTTGTTGGGCCAAATGGCCTGTTTCCACATTGTAGGGATTCTATGAATAAAGTATTCAACTGATATTTGTCATCTTACCACAAAGGTTATCACTAAAAACCTGAAAAATGTTAGTAATTCTGTGCTGTGACCCTGAGTAATTCTATAATTACCTATTTTGTCTCTGGACAGCTAAGCCACTGTTTTTAATCAATTATTGGTGTGAGTGTTTACTGACTATTCCTAATTGCCCTGCCTCTGTCCAAGTTTTTCCCAATCTTTGATCTGTACATCCTTGCTTATTATGATCTGCCTGTACTGCTCATAAGCAAAGATTTTCACTGTATTCTGGTACACATTACAATCAATCAATCAACCTTGAACTGTTGCAGTCTAAGTGATGTCGTATTCTGTTAAGGACAGAGTTTCAGGATTTTGACGCTGAATCAATGGGGATATGTTTCTCAGTCAGGATGGTGAGTGACTTGGGAGTTCTTGCAAGTGGTGATGTTGCCATGTATATTCTGCCTTTGCCCTTGTAGATAGAAGTGGTCACGGGTTTCGAAAGTGCTCTTGAAGGAGCGTTGATGAATTTCTGCAAAGCATGTTGTAGATGGTATACATTGCTGTGACTGAGTTGGTGGTGGAGTGACAGAATGTTTGTTGATGTGATCGGGCTGCTTTGTCCTTACGGTGTCAAGCTTCTTGAGTGCTGTTGGAGTTGCACTCATCCAGGCAAGTGGAGAGTATTCCATCATACTCCTAACTTGTGCCATGTAGATGATGGACAAGCTCCGGGCAGTTAGGAGATGAAAAACTCGCTGCAGGATTCCTAACCTCCAACCTGCTCTTGCGGCAATGATATTTAAATGACAAGTCCAATTCAGTGTCTGGTTGTGATGTTGATAGTGGGGGAAATAACAAGGGAAATGCTATTGAATCTCAAGGAATATGACATACTGCTAGCAACAACTCATGGTTTACAATGGCGAAGACTAGGTACTTTACATTCACAGATCTTTAGAATAAAACAGGGAAGGAGAAGAATGAAATAAGCTGGTTGTAACAATTAGAGAAAAGAATTCTCTTTTCAAAAAAGCAGATGTCTTTCAGGGAACAACAGAATTGATTTGCTTATAGTTGAGAAGGAAAAAGTAGATGATTATTTGACTAAAGACGTTCTGAAGGCTTCCAAATAGTGAGAGTTAGGAAATCTGTTGGGAAACCACAGAGACATAATATAACAATAGAGTTATAGAGAGAATACTACTGCATTGGGACACTTTAACCACACAAACATCATTTTCTTTTATTTACTTGTTGGATGTGGGTGTCGTTGGCTGGGCCAGATTTGTTGTGAATGTTGCTGAACATTGTGCAGTCATTGGCAAACATCCTGACTTCTGACCTTTCGGAGGAAAGGTCATTGATGAAGCAGCTGAAGATGGTTGGGCCTAGGACACTCCCTAGGGAACTTCTGCAGTGATGTTCTGGAAATGAAATGATCAGCTTCCAACAACCATGACCATTTTCCTATGTCATAGTAATGACTCCAAAGTGGAGAAATTTCCCCCAATTCTGACTGACTGCAGTTCTGCTCTGGCTCGTTGGTACCACACTCAGTCAAAACACCCTTGATGTCAAATGCAGTCACTCTCACCTCATCTCTGGAGTTCAGCTCTTTTGTCCATGTTTGAACCAAAACTTTAATGAGGTCAAGATTGGGATCATCCAGAAGAAACTAAAATGATCTTCAGTAAGCAGGTTATTGGTAAATATGAAAGATTTTAGTTGGACCTGCCCCTGTTTTAATAAAACTCGTTTGGACAGTGAAGAAGAGCCACATCCCAGGCACAGAAGGGCATGCAGAAATACTAAAGATGGGATCTGATTGCACAATTCAGACAACATCTGAACACTCAGCAGCCACACAAAGGTAGGATTACTCCTCACGACTCTTAGAAGGAATCCCAGCACATTGGGTTTTTCTCTCCTTCCATGATCACCTAGCCTTTGCCAACCCCACCTGCACCCACAACATTTGTAGGACCTTGTTGTGTGTTTTCATATGTTGCTGCGTAGCATACTCCCCTCCAGGGATCTGACCTTCAGAGCAATCAGGTTCAGCTGCAAATCATACCATGTTGTCGCGCTCCATGAGTCAAAATGGGCTGCACCTCATAATGGGGAGATAGGAAGTCCTCAAAACTTGCCCCAAAGGTCTCCAAGTGTGTTGAAATGGACTTCTGGCATACGTTGACATACTTTGCTGGTAATATTATATAGTGGGAAAATATATTGATTGCAAATCTAAGTGATTAAAAGAAGAGATGGCTTTCTGTGTGGCGTTCTGTTCTCCAAAGGCAATACCGATGATTACACCAACCACTGCTCTCATTTATTCTTCAGATCTGTGGAACTTATCACTTCCCTCTTCCACTCCCATATTCCAAATGGTTCCCCATTTTCCTCAACCTTGTCATGTAAACCACAAACCCATTACTTAAGCTTCTCAATAAAACAAGAAAATGTTCAGAGCCTGAAGGATTAGGATAACTTACAGGCATTCCATATTGCTGCAGAGAGTACTCTGAAGACATCCCCTGCAAGAAAATAAGAGGCACGGATATTACCATTTTGTCTTGTTTTGATGTACAGCGGATGCTTATGAAGTGGATGAAGTTTCTGATGGATTTTCTCTGAATAAATTTATACCCCACTCCAAATCCAGTATTCCTACCCTTCACATAATTGTGCTAATGGCAGCTCATAACTCACAGTTGTTACATTGCATTTGAGGACAGTCCAATACCTACACACTAGAAGACTGTCGTGTAGTATGTACCTAATAGTGTCACAGTCGTGTGCATAAACATGGATTGTGCACTCAACTGGGTATAGCTTCTGTATACTACAGATGTATCTCCACCGATATTGCCAGACTTGCTGAGTTTCTCAGCTCTTTTGGCTTTTATTTCAGATTTCCAGCATCCACAGTATTTTGCTGCTGTATTAGACAGATTCATTGAGTTCCTATTGCCAGTAAACTATCCAAAACTTTTACAAGATTTCTGAAGAAGGGTCTTGACCCGAAACGTCAGCTTTCCTGCTCCTCTGATGCTGCTTGGCTTGCCGTGTTCATCCAGCTCTACACCGTGTTATCTCAGATTCTCCAGCATTGGCAGTTCCTACTATCTCTAAAACTTTTACAAACAATCTTTAGGGCAAGAAGAAGGGCCATTCCATTCATGCCTTACTTTAGGATGGATGCAGATGTGAAGCCACAGTTTCAGGCCAATAACAATTTGGTGCAGCTAACAGTTTTGTTATGTTCAGCAAAGTCCATCAAACCAATGCATTCTGTAACAGATGCAGTTTGTCACACCTAACCAAAAGCTGTTCAGTTTTCCTTGCTAGTTGTAGAACATGTGGCAACAAAGGAAACTGGGTGCCCATGTGCGGGGAATTTGGTGCCTAAGCCAAACCAGAGCTCAGAATATAACACAACAAGATGCTAAACACCAGAGCATTGGCACCAGTGCTTGTATCATCACTTGTAACATAATAAATTAGGTATGGATAATGTGGAATTGGAAGACCTAACACATTTGTTACACCTTGTTAAATATATATTTACAGTCACAGGCACATCTAAATGTCTGAGCTAGTATTAAGATATTTGGTTACAGAAGAGCATATTTCCATTTGAATTTCATACTTCAAATAAGATAGTGCCCGAGACTTTTACACCATAAGAATACATGTTGCAATGTTGATATCATTAGCATGACTGACAGACATGAGACATAAAAAACAAATACTACCTTTGCATATGAGACAGTAGGAACTGCAGATGCTTTCTGAAGAAGGATCTAGGCCCGAAACGTCAGCCTTCCTGCTCCTCTGATGCTGCTTGGTCTGCTGTGTTCATCCAGCTCTACACCTTGTTATCTCTACCTTTGCATATTTTCACTTCCATTCACAGACTGCATTATAAGCAACTCCAAAACACAGGGATAGGTCCAACCTTCTGATCCCTCCTTCAAAGAACAGGATTTCAAACAAAGACTTTGTTGTGGAATACTGTGGTTTGAATTCAGGGTGGTTTAATTTGTTCTTTGAATGTTTTGCACATGTTACAATATTGGGTACGAGAAACAATCAATACAATGAAAAACCATGAAACATTTATATCATGAAGTAAGATGATTCAGCTCTTTATTACTCCATGACTGGATGATTCATTGAAAAACTGAGCTCATCAATGGAAATCAACTAATTTGAAATTCAATTAAATCTCCAATTGCAAACTGCTTCACTGAAACTAACATTAAAGTCAGCGATTATATGTGAAGCAATACTTATTGCCCATTCCTCATTATCATTGAATCCACAGAGTGTGGAAACAGGCCATTCAGCCCACCAAGTTCACACCGACACCCTGAAGTGCATGAGAGTCTTAGGAGCTGGTTGGATATTTGAGACACACACAGACACACACAGACACAGACACACACACGCGCACACACACACACTTTCTCCCGCTCTCTCTCTCTCTCTCCTGGCATTGGTTTGGCGCACGGTAACTTTCCAGTCTCCTGTGGTGGCTTCCTGGCAATGGGGTGTCACCGGTGCGGTGTGGTGCCAGGGCCCAGTGCCGACTGGAAGCTAGGTGCCAGCGTGGTCTGTTGTACTGAACTTTATTTCAGTAATGCTGGACATTTTATTTCTGCATCGTCTAAAATCTTGTAACCAAAGAACTTGTGCCTAGGTATTTTTGTATCTGAGTCGGCACTGTAATTGGCAATGTATAATCTTTTGGCTATACTCATTGAGCATATGTGACAATAAAAGCTATTCTATTCTATTCTATTCATGTTGGGCATGGTGATGGAGATTGACTCTGTTTTCAGGTAAATGCCCTACCTATGAGCATTAGGCAGTGATCAGGAGCAAAGGCTTGAGTTGACTTTATTCTCATTAGCCCAGAGGTACAGAGGCCAACTGCAGCACCCTACTTGAGCATGGTGCAAAATGAATACATACTAAGCCTTGCACCTTGGAACTTGCTGCTCTGTAAAGTTGATTTGCAAACATGCAGTGCATTCAGCAACCAGGCCAACAGAGAGACTGGTACTTTCTGTTCTGAGAAGAGCCCTCTTTCTTCACTCTGTCTTCTCTAGGATAAAGAAGGATCAAGTGAGGCCTTGTAATACTCTTGCAATTTTAGTGTTGTATGCAGAGTGTTTACCATAATGCATTTTGGTAGGAATTGTACCATCTTATTTCTGGAATATAAATTCGCCATGCACATTTGTCCTATAGGCTGTGGTCCTTAAACAATGCAAAGTTAGTCTAACATCGTAAGTGACCATGCTTACAATGGAGGTCTATTAAAAAATTCTTTTCATTTATAATATAAACAGTTGAAAAAGGTAACTCACCAGTCCTGGTGGGCCTGGGAGTCCTGGCAATCCAGTATCACCCTAAAACAGAAGCGATGTGTGAAAAATGTCTTCCTTCCCCATTGTATGAAAATCTGATGGGCCAGCCAAGGGAAGAATGATTGAGAACAGCTTCAGCTTGTTTACCATGATAGCTGCTCTCTTTTTGCACTGGCTACACAGCTGTTTCAGAAGGCTGACTCAGATTCATCCTCAGAGGCATGCTTTTTATGATGGAAGCAAAGCTGAAATAAGGGACCTTTTGACATTGGCCCTTCCAATAAGGTAAGCTGTAGCTCACACTATTATAGATGTTTTCACACCTGAGACAAAGCCACACCAGAGAAGAAACTACCAACAACTGTTTTTTAAAATCCATGCTTATTGCCCTTATCTAATTGCCCCAAAAACGTTGTGATGAGCTGCCTTCACGAGCCACTGCAATCCATGTGGTATAAGTACCCCATGATGTTATTTTCCTGCAGCAATTTAAAGGAACTTACTGGCTCGTAGAGCCATTTCAGAGGGCAGTTAAGACTCATTCCCATTGCAGTGGGTCTGCAGTCACATGTAGGTCAGTCCAAGTAAAGATGGCAGATTTCCTTCCTTAAAGGACATTCGTGAACTAGATGGGTTTTTCCTACAATCTACGGGTTTCATGGTTATTATTAATAAGAATAACATTTTATCCCAGATTAATTAACCGAATTCAAATTTCTAGTTATCTCAGTGGGATTTGAAATCATGTTTTCAGAGTATTAGTCTGGGTCTCTTGAATTTGAATCTAATATTAGAATTACAATGTGAAAGGGGATGCATAGAGAGTAAAGGAAACTACACCAGAGTTAGACATTCATCGAGGGCATTTTTGGGAATTTGGTCCATCTGGTATTGGAGTTATCATGTGAGAAAAGTTTCGACTTGTTGGGCCTGAACCAGCTGGAGTTTGAAGGAACAAGAGGTGGTTCTCAGAGGGATTGTCAGGGCGAAGGTGGAGATAGTTAAAACGCAAGACCTCGAGGGTAGTAATCTCTGGATTATTTCCTGTTCCACATGCTAGTGAGAGAAGGAATAGGAGGATAGGGAAAATGAACACGTGGCTGAGGAGCTGATGCACGGGTCACCAACTATTTGGATCATTGGGATCCCTTCCGGGGCAGAAGTGACCTGAACAAGACAGGCGGGTAGCACCTGAACTGGAGGAGGGCCAATATTCTAGTGGGGAGATATGCTAGAGCTACCCTAAAGGGCTTAAACTAGCCAGGCTGGAGAGGATGGGGTGGGTGGGGGTAGTGTGACCTTAACAGTGCTGACACAAAAGAGAGTGCTGAGGCCAGTATAGAAGTTAAAGAGAGCAAGTTAAATACACAAGGTAGGCGAGAGCTCGGCAGGTAACAAGGGGAGACAGATGAATTAAACTGAATTACTGCATTCATTTCAATTCAAGAGGCCTGGCAGGTAAGGCAGATGAACTCAGTGCATGGATGGGTACATGGGTCTGAGATATCATAGCTATTACAGAAATGTGGCTGAGGGAGGGAGAGAACTGGCAGCTCAATGTTCTGGGGTAGAGATGCTATGGGAAGGATAGAAAGGAAGGCAAGAGAGGAGGGGTGGTGTTTTCAATTTGGGAAAACATCATGGTAGTACTTGGAAAGCATTTTCCTAAGGGATCATCCAGTGAGGCTATCTAGGTGAAACTGAGAAATAAGAAGGGAGTGATCATTTTGATGAGATTGTACTACAAGGTCCCCAGAAGTCAGCAGGAAACTGAGAAGCAAATTTGTAAGGAGATCTTAGTTATCTGTAAGAATAATAGGGTGGTAATGGTAGGGGATTTTAACTTTCCAAACATAGACTGCGACCGTCATAGTGTCAAGGGCTTGCACAGGGAGGAAGTTGTTAGATGTGTTCAGGAAATCTTTCTCAATCAATAAGTAGGTGCCCTTACTAGAGAAGGGGCAAAATTCGACTTACTTGGGAAATAAGACAGGGCAAGTGATTGAGGTGCAAGTGGGGGTGCACTTTGGAATAAGTGACCACAATTCTATTATTTTTAAAATAGTTATGGACAGGGATAGATCTGGTCCACAAGTTAAAGTTCTAAATTGGAGCAAGGCCAATTTTGATGATGTTAGAGATTGATTGGAGGAGGCTGTTCATAGGTAAAGGGACATCTAGCAAGTGGGAGGCTTTCAAAAGCAAGATAATGAGAGTTCAGGGCCACCATGTTCCTGTCAGGGTGGAGGGCAAGGCAGGCAGGAGTAGGACAAGTAAAGATGTTGAGGCTCTGGTCAAGAAAAAGAACGAGGCAAATGTTAAATGTGGATAGCTGTGGTCAAGTGAATTCCTTCAGGTGTGTAGCGAGTGTAGGAGTACATTTAAGAGGAAAATCAGGAGGGCTAAAAGGGGACATGAGATAGCTTTGGTAGTAGGGTAAAAGAGAATTCCAAGAGATTCTACAAGTATCTTAAGGGCAAAAGAGTAACTAAGAGAGAATAGGCCCCTTAAAAATCAATGAGATTATCTATGTGTGGAACCACAGAAAATGGGTAAGATCCTAAACAAATATATCTTGTAAGTATTTACTATAGAGAAAGGCATGGAAGGCAGGGGGCTCAGGGAAACAAATGGTGATGTTTTGAAAAGAGTCCACATTATAGAAGAGTAGCTGCTGGAGATGTTAAAAAACAAAAATTTAGATAAATCTCCAGAACCCGATCAAGTATATCCCAGGACATCATGGAAAGCTGGGGAAGAAATTGTAGGCTCCTTAGCAGAGATATCTGTATCGTTAACAACTATGGGTGCAGTGCCAGAAGACTGGAGGGTGGCAATGTTGTGCCATTATTGAAGAAAGGCTGCAAGGAAAAGTCAGAGAACTACAGACTGGTGAGCCTAATATCAGTCAGTGGTGCATAAGTTGTTGGAAGGGATTCTGAGACATGGGATCTACATACATTTGGAAAGGCAAGGGCTGATTAGGGATAGTCAACCTGGCTTTATGCATGGGAAATCATGCTATAAATTTGAGTTTTTTTGAAGAGGTGACCAAGAAGAGAGATGAAGGCATAGCAGAAGACATTGTCTACATGGACCTTAGCAAGACCTTTATCAAGGCTATTCATGGTGGACTGGTTAGTAAATTTAGATCACATGGGATCGAGGGAGAACTAGCCAATTGGATACAAAATTGGCTTGATGGTAGGAAACAGAAGGTGGTGGTTGAGAATATTGTTCAGATGGGGCCTGTGACCAGCAATGTGCTGCAAGGATCGGTGTTGGGTCCACTGTTGTTCATCATTTATATAAATTATTTGAATGAGGACACAGGAAGCATGGTTAGTTAGTTTGCGAATGATACCAAAATTACTGGTATAGTTGACAATGAAGAAGGTTATCTAAGAGTACAATGGGATCTTGATAAACTTGGCCAATGTGCCGAGGAATGGCAGATGGAGTTTAATTCAGATAAATGCGAGGTGTTGCATTTTGGTAAGACAAAGCAGGGTATGACTTAAAGAGTTAATGGTAGGGTCCTGGGGAGTGTTGTCAAACAGAGAGACCTAGGGGTCCGGGTACACAGTTCCTTGAAAGTGTAGACAGGGTGGTGGAGAAGGCGTTTGCATGCTTGTCTTCATTGGTCAGAACATTGAGTACAGGAGTTGGGACGTCATGTTACAACTATATAAGACATTGGTGAGGCAACATTTGGAGTACTGTGTACAATTCTGGGTATCCTGCTATATGAAGGCTGTTATTAAACTTGGAACAGGTGCAAAAAAGATTTACAAGGATGTTACTGAGACTGGAGGGTTTGAGTTATGAGGATAGGCTGCATAGGCTGGACTTTTTTCCCTGGAGGGTAGGAGACTGAATGGTGACCATACAGTGATTTATAAAATCACGAGAGACATAGACAAGGTATTATCTATAAGGTATTATCAGCTTAAACGTATGCCCTCTGGTTTTGGACTCCCCTCCCTTGGTAGGTATTAAATGATGCAGGAAGCTTCAGAGACTGAATGGTCTAATCCTGCTCCGAATTTGCATATTTGTACAAATATTTGTATTTACTGTCCCCATGCAGCAAAAAACTGAAATGTTTCTCCTCACACATCATGGGGCTTTAGTTAAAGTTATTGGTTCCCCTTGTGGCTCCTGCACAACAAACTGTAAGACATAGGGACAGAACAGGCCATTCAGCTCATCAAGTCTACACTGCCATTCAATTAAATCACGGCTGATCTGATAATCTTCAACTCCATATTATTTCCTTTTCCCAATTATCCTTGATTGCTTGATTAATATTTGTCTATCACAGTCTTTAATAAACTTAATGATCCAGCTTTGACAGCCCATTGCAGTAAATAATTCCACAGGTTTCCTAATCTGAGAGAGAAAAAATTCCTTTTCATTTCTGACTTCCCCTTACTTTGAGATTATGCCCTCTGGTCTTTAACTCTTCCACAAGGGAACCAACATTTTTGGCTCTCCAGGCAGTCCCTGGGTTTCGTAGATGACATTCTTACCTTTGTTCCTTTTTCTCCTTTTGCACCATGGGGGCCTACTTGTTCAGATACACCCTGTGACAGTAAAATTCAGGAAGTTAGTGAATACCTACCCAGATACAGATTCATTTTGCAAAACAGTTGAAGCCCATCTGTCAATTCAAAACACTTACAGGTTCTCCCTTTGTTCCTTTCAGGCCATTCTGGCCAGGATGGCCTGGATCTCCTCTGTAACCCTGGAAAACATGGCTATCATTATCATTTACTCGAATGGGCCATACATAGGATCACACTTACATAATAAGATACAAATTAGGATTAGGAACAAGCAGTCAGTCCCCACAAACCTGTTCTGCCATTCAATCAAATCATGGCATATCTGATTGTAACCCAAATCCTCCGTTTTACCTCCCCTGATAACCTTTCAGCCCCTTGCTTATAAAGAATCTGCCCACTTCTGCCTTAAAAAACATTCCGGGACACTTCTTTCACCACCTTTTCAGGAAAAAAGTTGCAAACACTCATGACCTTCTGAGAGAAAAGAAATGTCTTGGGCTCAATATAATTCTCTAATATAACTGTTCTTCAGTCTGAAAAACTTATATTGGACTCAAAATATTAACTCTGTCACTGGTGGCATTGTCTGTAAGGGCCCTGATGTTTCAGATCCCAAACTTCATCCTGAGGGTGTGGAAGGTGCCCGTGAGAGACTTCTTTTAACATGGGGAAATCGTTGCGCATCAACTACCACAAGGGCTTAGCAGTGCAAGGTCTCGGTGCAGTGGCGAGGGGGGTCCAAGACAAGCCGAGACCAGGCACTGCTGTTTGGCCTTAGTTTGCCTGCATGGAGTACTAATCCATGTTAATACATCACCCGCCACACCATGCGCTCTTATCTTCTGCAGTAACCTATGGAACCTTATCAAATGCCTTCAAGAAATCCAAATACCTTACATCTACTGGCTCATATTTATCTATCAACCTTATTATGTTCTCAAGGGACTCTAGTATATTTGTCAACTTGTTTTCCCTTTCACAAAACCATGTTGGCTCTGCTGGTTGTGCGATGATTTTCCAAATGTCCCGTTACTACCTCCTAATAGTATTCTTGCATTTCCACGGTTATAGATGTTAGGCCAACCGGTCTACACTTTTGTGCTTTTTGTCTCTATACTTTTTTGAGTAGTAGTATGACATTTGTGGTTTTCCAATGTTGGGATCTTTCCAGCATCACATGAATTTTGGAGGATTATAACTAATGTGTCCATTATCTCTGCAGCCACTTCTTTTAGCGCCTAGAATGCAGGCCATCAGCTCCAAGAAAATGATCAGCTTTTAGTCCCATGAGTTTCCTTGCACATCTGTAGTGATTCTGATTGCTCCTCCCTTCCTTTTGCCTCTTAATTTTCTGCTGTTCTTGGGATTTTTTTTGTTTTCTATTATGAAAACAGGCTTAAAATACTGTTCAAAACCTCCGCCATTTCTTTGTTTCACATTAATACCCCAGTTTCACCCTAAGGGCTACTGCTGACTTTAGCTATTCTTATCAATCTTTTTTGTACATGTCAAAGCTTTCACCACCTTTTTAAAATACATTTTATGGATTTTCTCACATACTCCAGTTTCTAAATTTTCCCAATCTTCTGTCTTACTATTAAATTTCCTAGTATTGTATACCATATTACCAGAGGGAGAGAGAAAAAGAGAGAGAGATCGACGAAGAACAGAGTTATTCAGTGAACTGGAGTAAAGGAGAGAAGGGGAAAGATGGAGTAAAAGACGGAATGAGTTAAAATCAGGGCAAGTGGGAGAGAGGAAGGGAAAGGAGAGAGGATGAAGGACAGTGAGGGAAAGATAGAAAGAGGAAGAAGGGCAGAAAATAAAGGAAAAACAAGAGGTTTGTTTTTGTTGCTGATTTCATTCATTAAAATGCTGAAATGGCCGATGAAAAGGTAACTTCATACAAAGGCACTGTTGGGTGCTTCTGAAAATGGAGGCTGACGGGGCACTTAAAAAGTGTTGAAGGAACTACTTTTTTCCAGTCAGAGGGGTGGGAGATCACAGATGATGTGATGCCAGGAATCACATGGAAAACATAGCAGCAAACCTTCATCCTGCGATACTCCCATCATGTTTTAAACATTTTTAAACATATTAAAATTGTGTGCCCTGGAATGATTGAATTCTCACTAAATTCTCAATGAATAAAGCACTTGGGAACTTGACCTGAATTAAAGGACGGTTCCATGTCAGCCACTGCTCTGACATTGGGAAGCAATATTTCGATGTTTCCTGTGGGGGTCCTATCTGTGGGTCATTTGATTTACAAATGGAAGCCTATCGTGTGAAAAACCCGCTTGACAAGGCCAAAGCCGATGAGATCTGGGAATTATAGTGGAGAATGCTTGCTGTTCTTTGTGTGTGAGTGTGCGTGTGTGTGTGTGTGTGTGTGATTGTGTGTGTGTTTGTGCATATGATGTAGCGATTGTAATGAGGTCAGTCCAGTGGACCTTATAGAATTCATGTAGGAACTGTTAATCTGTCTAATCAGGGATCCCTGACTGACAAATATGAACAGCAGTGTCAGAGGTTCTGCTCAGTCTAAGAGCTGGCTTTGAGGAAGCCAGGCCAATGTCAAGTACTAGGCACATATAAATGAAGGGTAACTTAGTGATGGGATACTGGCCTCTGTGGATCTGCAGATGTTTCGTTACCATGCTGGGTAACGTCAGCAGTGCAGCCTCCGATGAAGCGTCGGTGTGTTTTCCCGCCTGGTTTTTAAACGCTGGAGTCCGTTGAGCTGGATTGCCTCACTTCCAGTTTTCCTTCGTAGTGGCGTGTATACGGGGTCGAGTTCTATGTGTTTATTAATGGCTTTCTTCGTGGAGTGCCAGGCTTCTAGGAATTCCCATGCCTGTCTCTGCTTAGCTTGTCCCAGGATTTTAGTGTTGTCCCAGTCGAATTGGTGGTTCTCCTTATCTCAATCCACATGGATAAGGAGAACCATCAATTCGACAGGGACAACACCAAAATCCTGGGACAAGCTAAGCAGAGACAGGCACAGGACTTCCTAGAAGGCTGGCACTCCATGAAGAAAGCCATTAATAAACACACAGAACTCGACCCCATATACACTCCACTACGAACGAAAACCGGAAGTGAGGCACTCCAGCTCAACGGACTCCAGAGTTTAAAAACCAGGCAGGAAAACACACCAACGCTTCATCGAAGGCTGTATTTGTGTGTGTTTGGGGTGAGGGTTAGAGAGTTGGGGGTGGTGGCAAAGTGATGTGCATTACTAGTCAGGGGAAGCAGATAGTGGTTAGAAGGGGATGGTTATCTAATGCTGAAGTCGAGGGAGCAGAGAGAGCAGTCAGGTGGCGAGAGTGACTAGGTGGGTGGGTGTGGACTGAATGACTTGTGGGCCTTGGAGCTCACACTTTATTCTTCTTGGTGTACAAGCAGAGCTGCAAAGACACTTACTTGACAGGCTAGGCCCTTATCATCTTTTGAGATACGCAGCTCCCCAGGATGGGAAAGCCAGCCAATCCCTGAATGCATTATGGATGTAACTACAGCACAAGGACTGCAGTGGATCAGTGGCAGCTAACCTACTTTCTTTATGGCAACTAGGGATGGCCAATAAATGCTGGTCAGCCATCAAAACCCATGTGTCATAGATGAATTTTAAAAAAATTAACTGAAGGTAACTACTACATTTCAAGAAGGAAAACTCATTATAATATGTATTTGGAAATCTTCAAGCAAATGTACTGCAAACCCTTTAACTAGCCTCGGTTACAGAGTCATCGAGCTAAACGCATGGAAACAGACCCTTCTGACCAACTTGTCCATCCCGACCAGGCATTTGCCTGTGTTTAGCTCACATCCCTTTAAACCGTTCCTATCCATGTGTCTGTCCAAATGTCTTTTAAATGTTGTAATCGTACTTGCCTCTACCACTTCCTCTGGCAGCTTCTGTGTGAAAAAGTTGCCCCTCAGATCCCTTTTAAATCTTTTCCCTCTAGTTTTGGATTACCCTGTCCTGAGGAAAAGGAGATGGCTATTCACCTTATCCATGTATCTCATAATTTTATAAACATCTATAAGATCACTCAGCCTCCTTCACTTCAGGGAAAAATGTCCCAGCCTATCCTGCCTCTCCTTATAATTTAAACCCTCCAGTATTTTTTGAAGAAGGGTCTAGGCCCAAAACGTCAGCTTTCCTGCTCCTCTGATGCTGCTTGGCCTGCTGTGTTCATCCAGCTCTACACTTTGTTATCTCAGTATTTTTAACATCATTGTTAATCTTTTTTTGCATCCTTTCCAGTTTAATAATAGGTTAAAACTCGATTGGCAGATTTGAGGCCATTCATTTTTGGGTTTTAAGACTCAGTGCAGAATAGTTAATACCCGCAACATTGCTGTCGCATTGTGAAGCTTCACAAATTTACTGCCTTTTCCCCTGCCTCAAAGAAAAACGTAGCTTTGTACGAATCGGGCACTCCTTTGAATGGCATGCCTATAAAATATATTATTTACAAAACACAAGCAGGGAATGTAAAGTCAAAAGTCCAACATTTGTCCTCTGTACTCCTAACCCCCCTTTTCAAACTTTGCTGGGACAAGCACTCAGTCAATGTGAGTAATGCAGAGGTACCAGGAGGTGGCAACAAATCATTGCTTTAGAGTTGGGTCAGTATCCCTGAGTCAGGAAATGGCAGGCAGCAAAATGTTTATTGAAGCAAATCCTGCAAATGCAGGCGACTAATGAACAGATCAGGTATGACAGAAATACACAGAATATGAATTAGCAGTGGTTGAGTTGGGCAATGCTATTTATTTATACAATTTTTGAAGAGGAACCAAGGTCCAGCTACTATGATTAGCGCAGTTAACAACAACAACTTGTACTTATATAGCACTTTGACATAAAATCCCAATGTCCTTCTCTGGTGTAATTAAAAATCAAAATGTGACCCCACACCACAAAGGGAAACATTAGGTCAGGTAGCCAAAGCTTGGTCAGAGGGATGCATTTGAAGGAGTGGCCTAAAGGTGGAAATTGGGTTAGAAAGCTGGAGGGATGTAGGGAGGGAGTTTCAGAGTTTGAGGTCCAGCCAGCTGAAGGCATGACGATTAGTAGTGGAGCAATTACAATCAGGTTGCTTGAGTGGCCAGAATTAGAGAAACACCAATACCTCAGAGGATTGTAGTGTTGGAGGAGATTACAGAGATAGGGAGGACTCAGGCCATATGATTTGAAAACAAGTCTCACATATGTGGATAACAAGGTGTAGAGCTGGATGAACACAGCAGGCCAGGCAGCATCGGAGGAGCAGGAAACCTGACATTTCAGGTCTGGACCCTTCTTCTGAAGAAGGGTCCAGATCCGAAACGTCAGCTTTCCTGCTCCTCTGATGCTGCCTGGCCTGCTGTGTTCATCCAGCTTTACACCTTGTTATCTCAGATTCTCCAGCATCGGCAGTTCCTACTATCTCTCACATTTGTGGATAATGTTCTGAAAATGGACACAAGGAATCTTACAAAATGGCTTGCGGAAGGTTCAAGACTTCTCTGAAGGAATCAATTGCAGCCAAAGCAGACTATTAGAATGTTTTTTTCGTACAATTGAAGGATTTCAGGACTTTTCCCAGGGAAATTTCAAATAGTCTGAAGACTCAAAAGCTTCTGTAGTAGTGATTAGAAAAATCACAAAAAATATCAGCATAAATAATTTTGCACTCTGGAACGATTCTGACAAATAGGGGAGTTTATCCCTGGTGGCTAGTACTTCCCTCAATCTGTAACTCATAAAGGGATCATCTGGTAACTTTCACATTGCTGTATGTGAGGGATGGTGCAAAACTGGTTGTTTGTTTGTGAGGCAAGTAGTTACACTTCAAAAAGAGCTGTAAATTGCTGTCTGGTAGCTGTGAAAAGTGCTGTTTAAATGTAAGTCTGTCTTTCTTTCAACTGCATCAGTTGTTCACCTTGACTGTGGTTTTGGAGCTTTGCAACACTCACTCCCTCTGACAATGCAACTGACAACAGCTTGCAAATAATGAAAGAAGAAAGCTCCTTATACATCAACTTTCTCAAAAAGGAAAGACAATGCATTTTTATGGTAGAACATAGAACATAGAACTGTACAGCACAGTACAGGCCCTTCGGCCCACAATGTTGTGCCGAACTTTTACCCTAAACCTAAGGTCTATCTAACCTCCACCCCTACCTTGTACTAGCATCCACATGCCTATCTAATAGCCGCTTAAATGCTCCAATGAGGCCGACTCCACTACTCTCTCCAGCAATGCATTCCACGTCCCTACCACTCTCTGAGTAAAGAACCTACCTCTGACGTCTCCCCTATATCTACCTCCACTCACTTTAAAACTATGCCCCCTTGTAATAGATACCTCCACCCTAGGAAAAAGTCTCTGGCTGTCCACTCTACCTATACCTCTGATCATTTTGTACACCTCTATCAAGTCACCTCTCATCCTTCGTCGTTCTAAAGAGAAAAGCCCTAGCTCTCTCAACCTTTCCGCGTAAGACCTTCCCTCCATTCCAGGCAACATCCTGGTAAATCTCCTCTGCACCTTTTCCAATGCTTCCACATCTTTCCTGTAATGAGGCGACCAGAACTGGACACAATACTCCAGATGTGGCCGAACCAGGGTTTTGTATAGTTGGAGCATAACTTCACAGCTCTTGAACTCAATCCCTCTATTAATGAAAGATAACACACCATAAGCCTTCTTAACAACTCTATCCACCTGGGTGGCAGCTTTCAGGGAACTGTGGACATGAACCCCGAGATCCCTCTGCTCCTCCACACTGCCAAGAATCTTTCCGTTAACCCTGTATTCTGCTTTCAAGTTTGTCCTTCCAAAATGAATCACCTCACACTTTACAGGGTTCAACTCCATCTGCCACTCCTCAGCCCAGCTCTGCATCCTATCAATATCCCTTTGTAACCTAGAACAGCCCTCCGCACTATCTACAACTCGATCTACCTTCGTATCGTCCGCAAACTTACTAATCCACCCTTCCACTCCTACATCCAAATCATTTACAAAAATCACAAATAGAAGAGGACGCAGAACAGATCCTTGTGGTACACCACATGGTATGTAGAATTGAAATGTAGGAAAGGCTCTTGGCAATTTGTGCACAAACAGCAGTTCTAATTCATTATTCACTTGTGTTACATTGGTATTGCTGGCTGGACCAACAATTGTTGACCCATCCCTAGTTGCCATTAAGAATGTGGTGGTGAGATGCCTTCTTGAACTGTTGCAGTCTATGTGCTGTAAGAAGACCCACAATGCTGTTAGTGAGAGAATTCCAGAATTAAAATCCAGCAACAGTGAAGGAATAGTGAGCGGCTTAAAGGGGTACTTGCAGGTGGTGGTGCTCCCTTGTGTCTGTTGCCCTCATCTTTCTGGATGGCAATGGTTGTGGGTTTGGAATGTTCTGTCTAAGGAGCCTTAGTGTATTTTTGAAGTGCGTCCTGTAGCTAGTACGCACTGCTGGTAACAAGCTATGATAATGGAGGGAGTGGATGCTTGTGGATATGGTGTCAATCAAATGAGCTGCTTTGTCTTGGACGGTGTTCTTGAGTGTTTTTGGGTCAGCACTCATCCAGGCAAGTGAAAAGTATTCCATCACACTCCTGATTTGTGCCTTGTAGATAGCGGACAGGCTTTGGGGAATAAGGGGGTGAGTTACTTACCACAGTGTTCCTAGCCTCTGACCTGCTCTTGTAGCCACAGTACTTACAGTAATTTGATGCATATGACCAGATAAGGAAGAGTGATGGCTGGGGGTAAATGTTGGCCAAGACTCCAGATAGTCATTTCTGGTCTTTTTCAGAATGTTGCCATGAAATCCCTGACATTCCTGACATGGCTGAAGAGACTTCAGTTTAACATCTCTCTGAGTGTCTGCAAAATTCCAGGCACAAGTCGCTGGAGTGGAGTGTGAATGCACATCATTCTGACCATGATGCAAGGTTACTATGCACTGGGACCTGACTGACTTTTCTGTGGGGGCATGTGTGCAGAACAAGTCCTCGGCAGATTCAACAGGCATTTTGTCCAATACACAGCAGATTCTACACAGTCTGTGCACAATCGCTTCATATTTTTTGAGCCATTTTTCTCCAGAATTGACAGAAAAACAGGGGCTAAAACCTGGGGGCTCAGCCTCAAGAGGCATACAATTAGCACCGACATGAGAAGGAATTTCTTCACTCAGAGGGTGGTGAATCATTGAAATTCTCCACCCCAGAGGGGTGTCGTGGTTCAATCATTGAGTCTGTTCAAGATAGAGATGACATGAAGGGATATGGGGATATTTTAGGAAAATGACATGGATTTAATCTAGTTGAATAGTGGAGACTCAAGAGGCTGAATAGCCTACTCCTATTTCCTATGCTCGCAGCTCAAAAAAAGTTACACAGTCTCCTTTATTTCTTGATTGCCAGATCCAATAGCAACATATTTGAACTTTGGGAACAATTGTTCTTACCTTTTCTCCTTGAACTCCAGTTTCCCCTTTTTCACCTGGGTTCCCCTAATAAAAGACAGATGGGATTAGCTTCAGCTGTCTAACAGCAAATGTGCAAGATTTACATGCAATAAAACCTTTAATTCTACTGATTAAAGCTTCAGCCCTGTTGGAAACCCACAAAATGTAATGATTTGACTGAGCAGCATGGCAGAGGGCACCCTAGTCATATGGAACTATTAAACTATTGTCTGGTAGTGGCACCTATTACACTCACCTCCTCTTTAAGGGTCAGCTTTACAGTATTTCCCAAATGTATATCAATCCTATAATAGAATGAGAGGGCGTAGGAGGTCCTTCAGCCAATCCTGCCTGGGCTGGCCACAATTCTTTTGAGGCCACAATTTATCCCAATGCCTTCTTTCTCCATGGCTCACCAATCTCTCCCCTTCAATTTCTTTTGAGGGAACTCAATGCATTCCATCCATCTGGCCCTTTAGATTGTTTTATGTCTTCATTAGATCTTCCTGAAACCATGTCTTACTCCAGGTACACAAGGATCACCATTTGGATAAACCAGTTGTGCCAGATGAAAAGCACAGCACTCTTGCAGACTTTCATGGGATCTCATTACACAGTGAATGCAGAGCTGAGCAATAGCAGAGATTCCTCTTTGTGGTAGTTACTGAAGAGAGTTGTCTGGCTCACAAGGATCATCTCCAGAAAGAGCAGCTCTTTCTTCAAGACTTCTTTCAAACCCCCTCCCTGTTCAATGTTATTTACATGGAGAAAGAGTGCAAAAAGCTACAGAACAGAGGGATTTTGGAATCCTTGTCCATGAATCACAAATTGTTAGTATACAATTTCAATGGGTAATAGGGAAAGCAAATGGAAAGTTGGCTTTTATTTCAAAGGGACTGGAGCATAAAATAGGGACATTTTGCTAAAACTGCACAAGTCCTTAGTCAGATCACAGCTGGAATACTGTGAATAGACTCGGGCCCCTAATCTAAGAAAAGATGTACTGGCAGCAGAGGCAGCTTAGAGAAATATGGAGGAACTGTCGTACAGAGTAGATTGGGCTCATACTAGGCTTTAGAAGAATGAGAGGAGACTTGTTGAAATAAACAAAATTCTTAGCAGACTTGACAGTGCAGAAATGGTTCTGAAGAAGAGTCATTCCAGACTTGAAAGATTAACTGTTTCTCTCTCCACAGATGCTCTCGGACCTGCTGAGTTTTTCCAGCACTTCCTGTATTCATTTCAGGTTTCCAGCATCTGTAGTAATCTCCTTTTATTAGAGGCAGAAAGATTGTTTCCCTTTTTGAGAGAGTCTAGGACCATAGGGCATAATCTCAGAGTAAGCGGTCTCCGATTTAAGACAGAGAACAAATTTCTTCTCTCAGAGAGTAGTGAAACTGTGGAATTCTTTACTGCAGAGGGCTGCCAAAGCTGTGTCACTAAGTATATTCAAGGTTGAGATGGACAATTTTTTAACTAGTAAGTGAATCAAGGGTTATGGAGAAAGTGGACTTGAGGATTATTAGATCTCACTGAATGGTAGAACAGACTTGATGGGCTGAAAGGCCTACTTTTGCTCCAGTGTCTTATGGACTCTATACTATAGTGATATTACTGCAGAATTCCTGATTATATTTGCTTCTTCTCGATATTATCCAACATTAATGGTTCGGCTGTGTAACCTGTTTCCATTCTTTGCCAGTAGACCTCTGAATCCATCTACTGCTTGTGAAATATATGGGACAACAGCTCCCTTTGAATCCCCTTCATCCCTTTGTTGGGGGTGGACGGAGATGAGGGCACACCTGATCTCTGCTTTCACTAGCGCGCGTACACACACACACACACACACACACTTACTGTAGGTTCCCCCTTGCAGGCTGGGTTTCCTCTGCAAGGTCACGACAAAGGGATAGGCACATTGTTTAAAAGTGTCAATGAATATATCACAAAACTGGCAAAAATGTAAGTCAGTAAGATGAAAATATTATGCCCCATGGAATGTTTTCATTTATTCACGGGATGAGGATATCGCTAGCTAGGCCAGCATTTACAGCCTTTCCCAGAGGGGAATTTAAAATTAACCACACTGTTGTGGGTCTAGAGTCACCAAGCAGGTAAGGATGGCAGTTTCCTTCTCTAAAGGACATTAGTGAACCAGATGGGCTTTTCCCAACAATCAAACATTATCTGGGTCTCTGGACTAACAGCTCAGTGATAATACCACTACGCCATTGGTCTCTCATGTTGGCCGATGTTGTCTGATCAGGAAGCTGATATGACTCTACAGCACTCTCAAATCTGCTCGAGCATACACAACTCACAGATCACCCACAGCCAGTAACAGTCATCATACGTGAAGAACCTTGATTTAAAATCTTAACACCACTCCCAACTCTGGCCAGTGAATGTAAGTTACTGCTGGTATTTATCTCTCATTGATGTAGCTCCTCTGCTTTTCCTACTCTTCCTACTCATGCCATGCACCATTCCTCTGACTAAAAATAATGGGAGATACATCTTAGCCTGGGTTTTCCTCCATTAACTTCCAATCTATTAGGTTTGACAGTATGGACATGTATTGCAGCCTGGCCTCTTGTTGTTTCCCAGCTCTGACTGTGAACTGACCTGCTGTGGGCTCAGTGAGGGAGATAAATTACATCCTGAAGCCAGGAAACTGGGTCCAAATTGAATTCCCCTCTCTGATTAAGTAGTTGGCTAGGTTGGGTACTTCTTATTCTGCCTGGAGCTGAAGTAACTGAGACCAAAGTAGGATGAGGCCCTTATCTGGTCTTTAATTGGCAGCAGGGTGGGAAGCTCAAGCTTGAGTCTTCCTGCCTGACATGATGGACTGATTGGCCTCTTCTGGCACCATAATAATTCATGATTGTATGATTAATACAGGAGAGCTCTGTAAGTGTCCAAGATCCGGACATCTTCAGTGCAGGCCCCACTCCCTCCAATCCAATGCTGGAAGATTCCAACCCTGCAAAATGGGAACCCGGAACAGCCTCTCTCTTTGTCATGTAATGAATCAATATGGTGAAGTAGGGTATCCTGCATTTCCAAAAGCACCAAATTAACAAAATGTTGTGTCAAAATGGCCAGCAACAAATATGGAATATGTTCGGAACACATTGGAATAACTAGTACTGTTTCAAACAAATTGCCCCAGCGAAGCTGTACCTTTTCCACCGAACCATCAGATCTGGCCTCCAGAGATGAATGTACAATTCCTCCCTTTGTCCAGATTTGCTCCATAAATTCCACAAGGCAATGATATTTCATTGGTAGAGCTTGTATTCTTTTCAAAATTCCATCAAAGTGAGATTGCATCATTATAACTGTAAGACAACAAGGGATTTCATAGGGTAAAGTTAAAATTACCTTGAGTCCAGGTTTACCAGGAACACCCTCTTTCCCAGCTGGACCCTGCAATGGGATGAAATGGGAATGAGTGTACATTGATACAACATTATTAAAATCAAACCATATCACATATGGGTTGTGTAAACAGGTTATTAATGACTCAGGAACGATCATTATAATGGACAGTCAATAGCTCACTCTCACTGCACTCCCACACCCATACTGAATGGAGTTCTGGCGGACTTTGTCAGACCAGCTTTCATAATTTGAGCTGAAGGTCTACAGCTGCAGATCACAGCAATGGCACACCTCCAAATGAACAAACATATTAAAATATATGGCTGCAGTTGTGTGTTATTGAATAAAAGGTCATATCTGATACTCTTTCTCTCTCCCTTTTTACACTCACATCATTACATTAAGTTTTATTTTAGATAAGAATTAAGAACAGGAAAAATTGAACCTGCTCCATCATTGTGGTTGATAGAAACATTGAAAATAGGAGGGGTAGACCATACGGCCCCTCAAATCTGCTCTGCCATTCAATATGATCATGGCTGATCATCCAATTCAGTATCCTGTAAGGTTGTTCACTTGCTAGCTGAGGTGGCTTGTTTTTATTCAGACGTTTCGTCACCATGCTAGGTGACATCACCAGTGGGGCCTCCGATGAAGTAATGTCATTCTACTCCACTTGGAATTTATACTGTCCGGTCCGTTATGGTGAGTACTGTCATTTCCAGTTTTGATCTGCATGGAACCATGGTTCTCCACCCATACTTCAATCAACAAACATATGGAATTGAACCTGATATACAAACCCATATAGATCAAAACTGAAAACGACAGTACTCACCATAATGGACCGGACAGTATAAATTCCAAGTGGAGTAGAATAACATCATTTCATCGGAGGCCCCACTCATGATGTCACCTAGAATGGTGAAGAAATGTCGGAACAAAAACAAGCCAGCTCGGTGAGCAAGTCAACAACCTCATCCACAACCTGAGTTACAGATCTTTGCCAAAACTTTAAATCAGTATCCTGTTCCCAGTTTCTCCTCATACCCTTTGATTCCTTTAGCCCTAAGAACTACATCTAACTTCTTATTGAAAACATTCTATGTTTTAGCGTCAAACACTTTCTGTGGCAAAAATTCCACAGACTTAGCAATTTCTTCGGCTTCAACTCTACAAAATCCACCTGCTCCCCATATCACTTGATTGCCTGAAACCAAAGATCTGCCAAACTCTGTCTTAAATATATTTAATGATGGAGCATCCACAACCCACTAGGGCAGAGAACTTTCACAATTCACAACTCTCTGAGTAAAGACACTTCTCCTCGTTTCAGTCCTCAATGATCAGCTCCTTATGCTGAGACTGTGCTCCCATGTTCTAGATTCCCCAACCAGGGCAACCATCCTCTCAGCATCTATTCTGTTAAGGCCCTTCAGACTCTTGCCTGCTTCAATGAGATCATATCTCATTCTTCTAAACTCCAGAGAACTTTAGAGCAACTAACTCAGTCTCTCATTACAGTGTATTCCCCTTACCCCAGGGATTAATGTAGTGAACCTTTGCTGTGCTGCCTCCAATCCCACCATATCCTTCCTTTAAGATGGAGATCAGGACTGCATCCAATATTCCTGTTTCGTTCAATTGGATCTCATTTTCACCTACTATAGGAACCTGCAAGCATGGCATGTTTCTAACAGGTACTGGCTATTTACTGAACCAAATACAAGGTACAACAGTCATTAAACTGTCACAGTGGCTGATTCCTCAATTGCTCTCACTGCCAAAATTTATGTCCAGATTTCCTGCAGAACCCAGAAGTGGATGCTGTCTTCTGATTTCAGGGACTCATTCTCAGATGTCTGACTTTCTCTAGTCCTGTTTCGTTCCCACTATTCAACTGAGCAACGCTGCACCCTTTGAAAAGATAATTCAAGTGGCTAAATTCTTTTGAATCTATTATTGACACAGTGGAATTTTATTTCAATAAAATGGTGTGCGGATCTGAGTGCTTCCTTATACCAACATCTATAATTTAGTTATATTACAAAAGTACATGTTGGGCATCGGGAGGAGTTGTTACATTACATAACTGGACAAATTTGTGCTTTCTCGCTCTGTCCTTCAATAACAAGATATAATATTCAGCTCTTTTTCATTATCAAAATGATCACTGATTACCAGTCAACACCAAGACTCCTCTGAGAATCGTTTATTCCTTAAATACAGATCTGAATATGCAATGAAGAATGGGGAGAGGCAATGAAGGAGAACAATAACAAAGATGGGTGTAGGTGTCTACCTCTCTCCATTGCACATTTGAGGTTTCAGCAATGCTCAAGGCAGCTGGAGGATTGATTCATTGCCCACTCACAGCCTTTAACATTGAATGGTCCATACTCTTTGTTTTTTGCCCTTTGCTACTGTCCCTTCGCTTTTGTTAAACTTACATTTTTTGTTCTGATTACACCACCTCTATAAGCTTCGGACTGAAAGTACCTCTTGTGATTAAGCATACTGAACTATAGTGACCCTCATCTAACCTGGCTACCCAAGTTATCTGTATTCTCAGTGATCCCATGCAAAGGCAATTGCTGTGATTCTGTGCTTGGAAATTGAGAGAGACACTACTTCATGTCATGAGCATGCCTTTTCAAATAAACTGCAATGGCAGCTCTGAATGCCTCATGTCTTGCTGATGTACATAGTGATGAATATTTAATAAATTAAAAGAAACATAAACTTGGTAACAGTAAAATACCAACCGGAGGACCTGGCATCCCATGGAGACCGGTTTCACCAGGTAAACCCTAGGGAAGGAAAAATAATCACAGACGGTTACTGCCATGTTACTTAAACTGATTTGTCAGAATTGAAATTAATCAAACAGGCAATTAAATGCAGAATATCTTAAGCATTGTAGAAACAGATCCTAACTTTTGAGCAGAGAAGTTTAAGTTGAAACTTAACAGAGGATTTCAAACTCATGATTAGCTTTGATCAAGTAAATAGGGAGAAACTGTCTCCAGTGACAGAAAAGTCAGTAATCACAGGGCACAGAGTTAAGCTATATAACACAAGCCACTCACCACTGACTTGGAAATACATTGCCATCCCTTCACTGTCATTGAATCCTGAACTCCCTTCCTAACAACACCCAAAGCCTACTCTACGTTGATTCAAAAAGGCAATTTACCATCATCTTTCCCAAACAACTAGGAATGGACAATAAATACAGGCTTAGCCAGCAACATCCACATTCCATGAAAGAACAAAAAAAAATTAAGGAAAGTGACAAAAGAACCAGAGTGAAAATGATGAGAAATTGTATGTTCATTTGTTATAATCTGGGAAGCTCTGACTTAACATGTGGTAGAAACACATTCAATATTAGTTTCAAAAGGGAATTGGATAAGCATTTGAAGGAGAAAAATCTGCAGATCTACTGGGAGAGGACAGTGGGGCGGGACTTATTGGATAGTGCTTTCAAAGAGCCAACACTGGTACTATGAGCCAAATGGTCACTTTATTTGAGATTCTATGAAAACAAGTGAACATCCTTTTTCTGAAATTCTACGGGATTTCCTGCACGTCACCTAGGGGAGTGGTGAGGACCCTGGGATGTGGTTCAGCTCATTGTCATAAAGCGGAAGTCGACCCCCTCTGTGATAACTAAAACTGAAGCACCCAGAGAGGTGCGCTTCACCTTATAATCTGTTAAAGGAAGTGTGAAACGTAGTACAAACTGCCTCTCAACTCCAATCTGTTATAGAGGGGTGATTAAATGAAATAAATTCCTGATATTCACTCTATAATCAACAAGAAACAATTTATTTATCTAACAGTGAACACATCAACTGAACTATTCAAAAACCAAACAATTCCCCTTCTAACTATGAACTATTCCCAAATAAAACAAGATTCTAATGGTATGCTGTTCCAATAAATATAAGTCCCACTTATATAAACTAAAATAAAATGAAATTAGAGCTTAGTCTCTTGAAATTACAGGCAGGTTACGTCTTCTGGAATGTTCTGTGCCTTCTCCATTGATCTCCTGTCAGAAATGTTCTCAAGCTTTATGTTATGCAGGGGATCACTAATTTTCTCTCCATTTATTCCACAGATTATCACTCTCTCGGGCAACATTTCAGAAGAAGTGCAAATATTTTCATCTCTTGCTATTAAAGACTGACCAGCTCCCATATCTATAAATATGTTAACTTCTTTACCAACTCCCCTTGTTCTACCTGAGCAAATCTTACCCACAGAGGTGAAGTCTTTGAAGAGATCGGGTACTATCTTACTATCCAGCCCTGTGCACTGGCTGTGCATTCTCTTGCAGCCCCTTGAATTCTCTTGGGATGTCCTTCACTATCTCAACTAATCCCACTAGTTTAGTCTCTTTTACCACATCTTTTTTCCTAGTGCCTTTCTTAAACCACCAGCACTGTGACATTGTGTGTCCCAATTTATTGCAATGGTTTTTACCTGAGGTCATTCACCTCTTTTCCACCCTCTTGGTCTTCTTTTTACATGTGGAACACTGTTCCCAGTGTGATGTACTTTTTGTTTTTCACTGAAGGATCTCTCTCTTTCCCAATTTCTATCCCTCATGCTGTCGGAAGCTAGATTTCGATTTATGCACTAATGTGTATTCATCTTCCATCTGATCAGCTCTTCTCGCTGTTTTAACTTTCTGTTCCTCAACATGAGTTGTTATGACTTCTGGAAGTGAGCTTTTATACTCCTCCAGCAGAATAACATCTCTAAAATCCTCATATGTCTTACCTATCTTTAATGCTGTCATCCATCTATCCAACTTGATATAAGTCTGACCTGGTTCCTTTCTTGCATTTCTGAACCGTTGTCTATATGCTTCTGGTACCAATTCATAGGCACTCAAAATAGCCTGTTTTATTCCTGCACATTTTCTTGACACCTCCTCTGACAGTGCTACGAACACCTCACTAGCCCTGCCTACCAACTCGGTCTGAATTAACATTACCCACATATTCTTTGGCCAGTTCATCTATTTAGCCAATTTCTCAAAGGAAATGAACAATGCTTCTACAACTTTTTCGTCAAAGTTTTATAATGTTTTGACATATTCGTACATATCCCTGTCAGGTCTTTGACTACGGTGGGTTTGCTCATCATCACCCTCATCATTAAGCCTATCTTCTACCTTCATTTCCATACTTTAAGTCTGCTATCCTGTCTAATTTGCAATTTCTGAAGTTCAAACTCTCTCTCTTTCTCTTTCCTCTGCTTGTAACCCTAATTAAAACTGTTTAAGTTCCCTTTCCTTCTCTAACTCCAGTTGTCTTATTTGCAACTTATATTTTTCTAACTCCACTGCACTTGACGGTTTCTCTGGTATGCCTAAATGCCTAATTAACTCTGTTACAATATCAACTTTCTTCTTATCCCGAGGTAAACCCAATTCTAGCCTGTCTGCTAACTCTAAAAGTTTCTCCTTTTCCTGTCTTTCAAAACTTGCTCGGCAAATTTAGGAAGCATTTTCAAACCCCAGAACCTCTTTAGCAATGTTAAGGCCCATTTCTCTCACTGTTATTTTAACCAACCACAAGTACCCAATCACAACTGAAATTAAACAGATTTTCCACTTCTCACGTAAGTTTGATTTAAAGATATAGGACACTAGTCCGAAGTCTGTTTAAATTTGCTGGGATCTTTCGTACCCCAAATCTGTTCAAATCTGTTCACATCCGAGACCTGAGCCCCCAATCTGTTATAATGTGGAAGCCGATAACCCTTCTGATAACTAAAGCCAAATCACCCAGAGAGGCGTATCTTGCCCTATAATCTGTTTAAAGAAGTCTAAAAAGTGGTATAACCTGCCTCTCACCCCCAATCTGTTTTAAAGGAGTGGTTAAATGAAATAAACTCCTGACACTCACTCTGTAAACAACAAGTAGCAATTTATTTATCCACCTCTAACAGTGAACACATCAACTGAACTATTAACAAACTGAACAGTTTCCTTTCTAACTACGAACTATTCCTGAATAAACCAAGATTCTAATGGCATGCTGTTCCAATAAATACAAGTCCTATATATATATAAACCAAAATAAAATAAAAATTAAAACTTAGTCTCTCAAAATTACAGCCAGGTTACGTCTTCTGGAATGTTCTGTGCCTCCTCCTTTGATCTTCTATCAGGAATGTTCTCTCTGTGAATTCTTCTGTCTGGAGTATTAGCTAAGAGTTCTACGGTACCTTTATTAATTAGATAATGCTTTCTTTGACAGCTGAGAGGGCTGATCTCTTATCAGATGGCAGTTGGTTCTCTCCCGATTTTCCAAATGCCCTCATCTTTTATACCCTTAATGACATATTTTCTTACAATAGGATTGGTCCTATGTTGTCAAAACCAACTGATTCCAATTTACTTGGTTTTTAGTATCTAAATGCCTGGTTTAAAATAATTGACTGAATTCAAACTTGTTGTCTTGATAACAAAACAAAACTGTAGCTTGAACTGCTAACTGTGCAGCCTTTGATACAAATGTTACAATTCAGATGTTCTGTGCACCTGCAAACCCACAAGCTGCCCACAGATATTACTCCACGCCTAGAAAAAGCATATCATCTTTTAAAGGGACCACACACTGTTTCCCTACCTACCATTTTACAACCATCAAAATTTTAAAAACACCAAATTTTAATGTTCTGCCTTCCAATCCACAAATACTCTACCCAATTTCACAACATAATCTTCCACCTAAAGAGAGCTTGAGATGACCCATGAGGAAATTCAGGGCCCATAAAACCATATTCATAAAAAAAAGTGAAGACTCCATTGAAGAATAGCAATAATTATAGGATTTAACGTTCTAAGTTTTTAGAAGAGGCTCAGAAAATCAAAATTACTTTCTGTTGCATTAGGTGTTAGGCTCTAAAAGGGTTAATACTAAGGAGTGCATTAAGTTCCACCCAATCTGATATTGTCATAAGGTGGGGAGAGGCAGAACAGGTTTGGATCTTGAGGTAGAAAGATTTAGCATCTAGATCTCTTCATAGTCTTTGTAACAATATCTATCACATCAGAATAAACTGTTCCTGATTGCTGTCATGCAATAAACAATGTTCTGTTTAAGAACCACTTCTCATTAGACTCACTAGGGCCTTCCTCCACCAGACAAGGCAGGCCTTTAGATCCAATTTTAAAAGGAGACTGAAGCAGCAAATTTACTTTTTGGCATGATAACTGTAATGAGGATCACTACATACATACATTTTCATTGGAGGCAAATGGGTTGTGTAGTGATATATTTCAAGTCCATGGTGAAATTTGAATTTACACCTTCGATATTATATTCTCGTTGTGATAAAATCCATTTTCAGCATTCTATGCAAACATAACTTTCTTTTTGTTCCTAGAGCCTTTCGGTGGAAATAGGAGAGTCTGCTGCAGTCTGGGAAGATACCTGGACTATACAGATTATGTGCAGGGGATTCAATCAGGAGTCAAGAGCAGCTGAATGGGTCTATGCTGGTAGAATGTAGTCAGAAGTTCTGGAGATTATTAGGCAGTTAATTGATGAAGTTAGGACCCAGAAAAAGTCCTGAGAAAGTGAAAAAGTGCAGAGAAAGTGCTAAGGTTGCTGTCTCTGTGTTGGGGAATCTGTGAGGAGCTGAGAAGAATCCTGTGAACATTAACATTTTAGTGCAGATGAGAGAGTGGGGCTTGAAAAGCTCACAGGCAGTATTTGCTTGATGCAACTGAGCAAGATTGGAGCTCAAGGGGCGGGACTGGCTCAGTGAAGCTAGTTGTCGGTGA